GGTGATAAATATTTAATTCATCTGCATGTTTATATGTACTTGCATGACTGATTTTAATTTAACGTTTCTCTATTGTATTCCACCATCAAACTCAGTAATTAAACTTCCTCTGTCCCAATTTTTCCTAATGGTGTTTGAATTTCGAAAGTCAAAAAATTATTCTTTTGTTCATAATTTTTATATACTTTTTAAATATTTTAAATTATTAATTAATGTAACTTACAACACTTTTTACGTAATTTTTAAATAGATAAATTTTATTTTTAAAAATTTAAAAATACGATGTCCATGATCAAAATTAAGAAGTTTAAATTTCGAAAGTGAAAATTATCATATAAATTGGGGCAAATGTCTATTTTTATGACACATTTCCAAAAAGATGAACATTTTTTATATTTAAAATAATTTCATTTAAATTTGATATTTTACTCTTAACGAGATGGTTTATATCACACAATTACATATATCTTATTTTAATTCAAAAAATCTTCTTTTTTTTTCTTAAGTTTGGTGCCAAATAAATTTGGAGTAGAGGTGGAAAAATAGTTAAAAAAAAAACAGTTAACCATCCATATTATCTACTAAAAAATGGGTTAGATAATAAACTTTTTAAAAACGGATCAAATATGAATAAGAACCATATTATTCATTTAGAAAATGAATAACTAACGCGTTTAACTTTTACATTTATAAAATCTCAAACTGGGGTTCCTCAAGTTTGAGAGACTAGGAATTCTCCCAAAAGTGATCATATTCATGAAGTCATGGATAAGATGGTTACTCATATTATCCGCCGGTTAACCCGTTTTTTATCCATATTAAATATGGATCGGATCAGATCGAATAATTTATCCGTTTTTTCATTACCCGTTTTCGATCCGTCCCGTCCGTTTGCCACCCTACATTGGAGTATTACATAAAATGGGAAGAAGAAAGTAATGTCATATAATGAGGACTAGTTAGAATCTAGACTACGAACAATAAATGCATAGAGATAGAGAGAGATTCGAATTACCGGTCGAGTCTTGTGACTGAGAACAAGATGAATGAGAACAGCAGCCAAAAGTGAGCGGAAAATATTACGTCCCAGTTTTCTGAAACCTGAACAGATGATAAATCATAAATATAGTAAGAAAATTCGTGAAAGAAAAAAAAATAATTAGAAAGAAAATTAAAGGAAACTATCAAATTTACCATAAATAATAATTAAAAAAAATAGAGAAAAAGTGCACACCTAGATATGTTTCCCAAGGGTATATTATTCCATCTTTGTTGATATCAAAGAACATTACATGTTTTTCTAAAGGAGTAAGCTGGTCATGATTTCCCATCCCTGCAGGCACATGCATATGTTTTCTCAATACCAAAAAGGCACACTTTTAAGACAAGAGGGTTCTGATGGCAAGCAACCTCCACTTCTAATCAAAAGATTGTGAATTCGAGTCTCCCCAAGAGCAAGGTGGGAAGTTCTTGGAGGGAAGGATGCCGGGGGTCTATTTGGAAACAGCCTCTCTACCCCAGGGTAGGGGTAAGGTCTGCGTACACACTTACCCTCCCCAGACCCAACTAAGTGGGATTATATACTCCACTAAGTGGAATTATACTGAGTTGTTGTTGTTGTTGTAAAAAGGCACACTTTTGTATTTGAACATTTGACTTAAAATGATTTTTGAACTCACACAGTCTTTATACTAGAATCTTCGTTTATGTCAAAGAGATTCAACAGTTTATATGTCCATAATAAAAAATAAAAAAACTTATCACTATTCCTATTTTGCACGCTATAATATACTCCCTCCGTTTCAATTTATGTGAACTTATTTGACTGGGCACAGAGTTTAAGAAAAGAAAGAAGACTTTTGAATTTGTGGTGTATAATGAGACACATATATTTTGTTTGGCTATAAATCATTGCATAAAGGTAAATTGTTTCCAAATAAGGAAAGATGTCATTCTTTTTGGCACGGACCAAAAAGGAAATAGGTTCACATAAATTGAAACGGAGGGAGTATATTTTAGCGAAAGGGATTCGGTTGGACTATTTTGACTCTATATAACTCTGCCGCTGTGCATGTCTCGAGAGAGTCTGAGAGAGAGAGAGATGCATACCATCAGGTTGAAGGCTGCTTGATGAAGCCATTG